TCTCTCTCTCTCTCTCTCTCGATTATCGATGGCACGGAGCGCGCGCGCGAGTTACAGGAAAACTCCGTTACCTACACCCAGTTCGTTCTCTACGACTTCCGCGAGCGCATAATTCACGCGGAGAGGCGGCGCGCACGGCCGGTTGTACACAGGACGAAAGTTGAATCATGAATTCGTACGTTTCGCGGAAAGTTTGCCGGGATGGGATGGGATGGGATGCATTGAAACGCTCCTGAGCACCGCCGTCGTGCCGAAACTAAAGCGTTCTCCCTGTGTCTATCCGCTTGATAGGGAGAGGAGGGAGAGGGATGATTTGCAAGAGGGATGGCGTATTAAGCGACACACTTATGGGAAGGAAGATCGAACGCCTCTCCCCTGCGTGCGAGCGAGGGGAAGGGAAGGGAAGGGAAGGAGGGAAAGGCTGAATTCGCAAATATTGGCCCGGGGCTTAAGAGCTCTTCTGATGACGAACGATTCTGGGTAGGATCCCTTGGCTGGGAGGAGAACACAGGTGCGATGATGTTTCGCTCGCGTCGCCCGTGTCGAGGGAGAATACGAGACAGGAAGGAACAGGAAGAAACGAGAAACGGGATCGTTTGAGGATAGGTTCGATCATTTCCACAATTTGCGAAACGGGAGAAATGGTTGGGAAAACGAGATAGATAGATATTTGTGGATAAAGTGATAAGAACAATTGATTGATTACGTAATATAGGTAGATTTAATGCCGGCTCGATGAGCCAGCATTGGTTAAGCACTTCCGGTCGGCAGGGCACGCCTGTACCTTGTTTTCGAGGGAATCGAATTATACTCACGGCCAGTTTCAGCAAACGCTCGGAGGCCTTCGCCACGTCCATGTTCTGAAAAATAAAACGAGCTTCGATTATTAATACGAAGAAAGCCACGTAAGCGGCAAATACGAGGCGGAATTGGAAGTTGTAGGAGCATGGAAAAAGGAGGAGGAGGAGGAGGAGGAGGAGGAGGATTCGGCGAAAACAAGGGTACGAAACGAAAGTTCCTAATTGGGTTCAAACCTGCGGAATATGTAGCGGGGATTCGCGTCAGTTCGCGTGGAAATTTTTGCGCGGTGATTACGATGAACAGTGATGGCTGGTAATTAAAACACCGAAATAATTAATCGGAGTTTTTGTAGGCTCAGCGATGTGGATAGACAATCGTATAAGTTCGAAAATGTTTTCGAATGCTCCAATATTTCGGGAAACATCGCGAGAATATTTGCCATAACTATGAGAAAAATTGAATTACAACGAAATATATAGTACTGGTTGGTATTTTTTAATCTCTCTTTTTTCCCCCACCCATCCCGGAGAAAGAACGGTATTTTTAAAAAATAAATTTTACTTGTTCCTTTGGGAAAGGATACAAAATAGATGGACACGATTCGCCTACTTATTAGTATTTATATTCATTCATCGTAGTATAAATAATCCAAACACGTCTGCCAAAACTTGTCACGCTTCATATTATACCCATTGCCGGTTCCGATGAAAATATAATACCTTGAATATTTTACTTCCCCATCGTGCGACCAGATATTGTAATCATACATAATAAAGAAAAACGTTCGTTCAAAAGCCGTGAAATAGTGGTTTCACGTTTAAAAAAAAAAAATCTATTTTATACATTTCGTTTTATATACACTCTCTCTTTCTTTCTCTCTCTCTCTCTCTCTCTCTCCGCTATCTTTTTCATCACAAATAAATCGAGGAAATGCATTTCCTTTTCAAGAGTGA